CCCCCCCTGGGGCCCCGCAGACTCTCTGCTCCTGCCAGACATCAGAGGACCGGCCAATGAAAAGGCATCAGGCAGAGTCTCTTTTCGAAAGAGCCCCCAGAGCTCAGGCCTGAGCTGCAGACAGGAAGCTGCCTCTGATGGACCAGTTCTGCTTGGGTTTCTGACCCGGACACGTTCTGCCAGGGTTACGTAGTTAGTTCATACTTATTCCAGCTTGTTGTAGTTCTTCCATTTCGGTCAAAATTTTCCTGTCTACTTCCTGGAGCGGTCAGTGGGTGGCACCCCCTTCAAAATGTCTGTAGAAATGTTCTAATTATAGGGCTGCAGCGTAGCCTAACGGTTACAGCGGGTGGACCACGTGTGGAGTCTCTCCTCATAAGTGGGTGGTGTGGGTTTGATTCCAGCCCATGGCCCTTTCCCGCAGGTCTCTCTATCTCTGCCCCTTTTCCTGTCAAGCTACTGTCATGAAAGGCCACTAGAGCCAACAAAATCTAAAATAAAAAGAAATGTTTTAATTATTATATACTATTACTATCCAAACTAGAAAATGTCTTTTTTTTTTCTTTACTTTGTTTATTGAACATTTTGAACATAAGACAGACATTGTTGGGACAAATTAAAAGTGTCAATACAAACTCAATGTCACAGTTATGTCAACCCCCAATCCACCCTCACCACCCACCCCACCCACAGGCCAAAAAATAAACAAATAAACAAATAAATAAAATAAATAAAATAAATAAATAAATAAATTACAAAAAAAAAGATAATTAGAAAAAATGTATGAATAAGAATAAAAAGTATAAATAGAAAAACAGATAAAAAAAGGTAGACATGAATGTAAACGTGGATAGATAGGTAGAGATCATGTTAGACATTCAAGTATCCTCAGGGTCAAGAAGATTCAAAGAGTCAAAATATCTAAGAAAAGGGTCCCATGTAGCCTGAAATAACCTGATGGAGCCTCTAAGAGAAAACCTCTTCTCTACTTTGCGGTTGTAAAGCACCTCTCCAATCCAGAGGGCATGTGAAGGGGGTGGAGAATCTTTCCAGTTAAGTAAGATCAACCTACGAGATAAAAGCGTGGTAAATGCAAACTAGAAAATTTCTAAAGAAATTTTGAGGGGGGCCACCTACTGCCCGTACAGGAACCTGGGGCTGTCTTCCTGGGGCCCTCAAAAGGGGCCCGGCAGGTCGGCCAATCGATATCTGGGCTCTCTGTAATGTGGGCTCGCGCCTATGAGAGGGCCTGAGGGAGAGAGGCAGTGATGGAGGGTCCTGGCTGAGCTCTGGGGCCCGCTGACCGAATGTAATTGGTTTGAGCAGGTCAGGGGTCACATTGGCTGAAAGCTGAGAAAAAGACCTACGCAACGAGGTACGACATGGCTGGGTCCGGCCCCGTTCCGGTCCAGTCCTGGTACCAGAACCAGAACCACGTTCTAAGTAACTCTAAGCGGGCTTGGCGCGCCTGGTACCAGAACCAATGTATTACTTAAATCTTTCTAAGCGGGCTTTGCCCGCCTGGTACCAGAACCAATGTATTACTTAAATCTTTCCAAGCGGGCTTTGCCCACCTGGTACCAGAACCAATGTATTACTTAAATCTTTCCAAGCGGGCTTCGCCCGCCTGGTACCAGAACCAATGTATTACTTAAAT